CCTGGATCAATTCATGAGAGGCTCAATGCCAAACTTGAATGTGTCCTGCAACACCCAGCATCCTTCCTGACCTTGGGTCACCTGGCGCCCTGCGAAGAATATTGAGCAGGCAATGTACCACGACCAAGCCACTTTCTTCATTCCTACAGCCACGGCCTTGACGATGAAATGATAAATCTCATACAATTTAAAATACCTGGGTAGGAATCCTGTACCACTCTGATGCATATCAGGGAATACGTGACGCTACCGGATGACAGAAACTTTTGAGAGGCTTAACTCGGTATGTTCCAAGGAGAACTTCCATCTATATTCTTGACCAAATTGCTACAGTGTGCGGGTCATTCTTGTGCTTGTTCAATGGCCAGTGTATTACAGTCTACTCTCAATGTATAAAGAATCAGCTAGAGTGGAATAACGAGGCGGTCAACCGATGCAGGATAGGGGGGGCAGAATTAGGTGATCCATTAGCTATATCAACCCACAAAAGGAAAATACCAAAAAAACATCTGCTCCAAGTGTTCTCATCGAAGTCTAACTCAGCACCATCCTCACTCATCCTTCCACTCAGGCCTATTCAGTCACATGAAATCCACTCAATAGCCTTTTGAATTCTTGCCATCACTGAGACTCGGCCACGCGGGAGACGCGATCACACTAGACGCAGATATCAAGAAAGACTGCCACTCCAAGATGGATATCTCTGGAGGCGAGGTGAGCTGACTGGAATTTTTCTTGGCACTACAACGATAATCTCTCTTGCCTGAGACCAATCACGCGTGAGCGGAAGGCTCTGCTGGTGGTCGTTTCTGTCAGCCTCCGGAACCCTTTTTCATGCCTTTGCGCTGAACATCGGACGAGCTTCTCGGATTCGTCGTTTCGAGGTCCTGAACTACCAGTAACTGTTGCATTTGAGGACAGAAGATCAAAGCCGAGACTTGGAGAATGTGGAAGCTCTCCGCCCATCTCTTATAATTTTAACATAGCATCTGTTTTAAGGGCTTCACCAGACCATTGCCGCTGACAGAATGAACCATTCAGGGACCTTCTAGCTCTCATGTTTCACATGAAGAGGAGGATACTGCCTATGATTCCCAGCTAGGGTACATAAACAACACCGATAACCCAAACAGCCCCGATGTCGAAGCACTCATAACCACAGCCACTCAGATGGCCGGATCTGCCGAGTGTAGCTCTCTCGCACTGGCTTCACTACAGGCAGACAACCCCAGGGACGCCCTCATCCTTCTCGCTGCTTGTTCCACTCAAACTTCCATCGACGTGAAACGGACAAACAATACCGCCGTCTCGGCTCTGGTCAAAGCTCAGCTGGCCGAAGAGGGCAATACTAACTCCGACTACACCTATGAAATCCGCTGGAAACAACAGCGTGAGGAAAACGAGATGTTGCGACACCGAGTTGACCGGCTTGAGTCGGTGCTCAAGCAACTGGTCAGCATGGTTGTTCAGACCCGCGGCACCGACGACGATCAGGTGAGAGAAAAGACCTCGATTCCCATTGCGAAGTTGACCTGATAGCTGAAGCGATTCCCAGGTCGCGGAAATGATGAGAAACCTGGGACTATAGTAGCATCAAATTTGGCTGGTGGTAGATGTAAGCAATTCTCTACCCTGGAGACTCAATTTGGGGTCCCGCTGGGATTTTTCAAAGCAGAGTGAAAACAGAATACGAATTTTTTTTCCCTCATGCTACGCAGTCTGAACTCCATCGAAGCTCTATCACTCCCCTACAGCGCTGGTATCCACTCAATCAGACCATCTGGCGCCGCATTAGATCAAACCGTCGATTCATTCTCAAGTGTGATCGCAGACAGCCGATTTCTCTATCGCTGGCGTTGACACAGCTAGTCATGGCTCAGAGATCGAATGTCTTTCTCTAGCTCTGCGACCTGCTCGCGTGGAGGCAGTTGCAAAGCAAGATGGACACCCGCCTCAGCCCACTCTATCAATCTCTTCTGCGAAAACTCGAAGATTTCCCTGAATAGATCCGTATGCAACTTAGCGTCTTCACCACACTCGAGTAAGTCACCTGTCCAGTGGTACAGAGCCTGGACGAACTTGCTATCCATGCCGAAAGCCATTCGGGCACCGAGACAGAGGATGATCAGATAACCTCGGGCTACATAACGCATGTCGGCACGTTCAAGAACGGACTTGCTTTCGGCTGCTACCCACTTGATGTCATTGTCGCCAGCCTGTGCCATGAAGAGGATGTGCTTGACCAAGTTGTGAAAGTCAGCCGTCCAATTTGGGTCTGTTTTATCGCGTACGTAAAGAGTGCCCTTGAGCTCGAACTCAAGACCGATAGCAAATTCCAGTTCGCGGTACATAGCGCCCAGCTGGCGCAAGATGCGGGGAAGTGGCTCGATATGATCGGGCCAACGGCCGCTTGGGTAGCCCTTTTCGACGAGAGTGGCGATCTGTCGCTGAAAAGCGATACAAGAAGTGAGGACTCGGGAGCTACTGAAGGCATCCAAAGCATCTTTACCGAGTCTGTCGAGCTTGTCTTGGGCTTCTTTGACCTTGCCAAGGTGGTTATGGCGTTTTGGGGCCTCAGCCAGGTGCTCGGCAATCTCGGATCTGCATAGCTGGCCTTGTGTGAAGTCAGACAGATGAAAGGGACAGAAAGGTGCGTTCTACTTACAGTTGCACTTGATGTACATGTGCTGATCGAGGATGGAGCGTCGCAGCAGCACGTCGAATCGAGGAGTCGGGTAGTAGTTCAGGGTGATCTCAGTTCCGGCCGGGATGTCCTTGATGGCACGACAACGAAGCTCTCGACCTTCGAAGAACGTATTAGTGTTGGCGTCACATGAGTGGTTGATGGTAGACACCAATAGATCAAGAAACGTTCCGTACTGATCAAGCACTCCAGGAGGGCGGATTGCACCTGCGTTGTGCTGAAGCTGAGGGAGAGGTCGTTAGCGACTGGATCTTGGTGTGTCCTCCAACTGGGGGCGCCTTACAATGCACGCAAGCTTCTGGACCTGACCAAGCCCAAGCTTGCTGTTCACACTCTGCTTGACTTGGTAGGCCATTGCCAAGGTCGGCTCGAGAACGGCGTCCTCATCATTCTCAAACCTGTCCATCCATCTATCCGCACGCTCGTCACAGTGGTGCTCCAGGGCAACAATCGCGGCGAAGTCATCCTCCGACATGGTTTGCTTCTTGACCCAGAGTAAAAGACGGGCAAGGGCGTGAGGTACGGCCCCCATGATCTTCTTGTTCTCAAGGAGCTCCTTGACGATGGGGCATTCATGCTTATGGTAAGATCGCCAAGCTCTGCTTTGACATTCCTGTGAGGAGAGGGTAGTGTTAGGAAATGTTGCAGTTGCTTGTACCTTTCGGAGGCTGTGACCCACCTTTGAACAGTACTCAACGTTCTTGCAGCCCGTGCAGGCGGAGAGTGTGACCGTTTTCTCTCCGGCAGAGTAAAAGCGGCCTTCAGGGTGGAGTCTTGTACTGGGATTGCAGAAGCAGTAGTCGCAAACACGAAGGTCGTTGCCCTCGCAAACCACCAGCACAGGTTGCGATCGAAAAATCTCAGAGCCCGCTGCCACGTCGTTGATGACGAACAAGCCACTCCCGGCTTTAGGAATCGAGGAAGCGGCGATACGTAGTGGGACGCCGCAATTTGCGACACCCCTCAAAATATGGTCGCACAGCTTGGGCTGTGTGTGAATTGGCCGCCTTTTCTCAGCCATGGTGGTGGTGGAACTCTATGGCAGGTCGGACAGAGGCTAAGGGTGAGAGTGGAATGGATGCGATCAACGAGAAGTTGGAATCAAACGCTTGATCGTCTTCTACTTCAGCGATGGTTAGTGTGTAGTAAGACGCAAAGTTGTATGATCAATTTCAGTGTTGGAGTATCACCAGCAAACCCTGGGAACGGACACACGCTTGTTTTGGAAAGAGGTGAAGAGTGAAGGCTTCTTGTTCGGATATTCTGTGTGCAAACGGTTGCAGGATGACTTCAAGCGGCCTGTAGCTAGATGTCAAGCCATTTTGAAGATGTTGCGAGTCTCTAGTATTGTGTTCGGCAGGTCAGCTAATGATGGGAAGTGAAGCACAGCACAGTTGTGAGCTTGTGCTTTCTTTGCAATACACAGCGGCCCTTCAAATGAGCTACTTTTGATATGTTGCACTTGCAACCGACAGAACCGACCCCCATCCCATTTTCCTCAGAGCAAAGCGGGTATGTACCATTGAGATGTGACATATGCTTGCCAATTGTTTCTGCTTGTGCTACAGCAATCATTTTACAATACTAAGAGGAATATATTGGAAAGCTTGGTTGACTGAATGCCGTTGACATGCTGAACTCCCATGCTCAACTTAGAGGCAGTCTCAATTGCAAGTGCAAGCTTGATTTGGAACAGCAATGGGCACCAAAAAGGCAATCTCGCCTGTTTAGGCATGAAATATCACAAATTTAATATAGGCACTAGATAATTGACAAAACCCCTTAAAGATGCTATTTCATTGTATGGTGGATGAGAGCCCTACCTGTTGAGGCAGGATGCTGGTAATCAACCCAGGCAAAGGATGAATGAAAACTATAGTGGCGTCTCTACTTACACATTACACTTATTCTAACACACATGTCTTGGCAAATAATATACTCACATGATTAACAAAAGTTTGCATATAGCAATGGTAGAATCCCCCACGATAGCATGTGTAACCCTGGGTAGGTAGTATTATAAAGTAGCAGCAAGTCTCCAGGACTCTGAGATTCTACAAGCAAGAAACAGCTTTGTAGAGCTATTTCTAGTTTACTGCATTCTAATCTTTTAGTAAGCCTGTCCAGCATATATGTTGGCGTATGTTCAAAGTGATTGAGGTTTGACCCACGTGAAACCCTGCTGGGATTTATCAAACAAAGGCCGCTCTGAGAGACTGAGACGCACCGATGCCGCGTGGTAGTAAGAGAATAAAAAGAAAACCACGGGGCGTTCGCGCAAAAGTAAAAAAAAATGCGACACCACAGAGATTCGAACTCTGGCTCCCGAAGGAACTGGCTTAACTGTTAAATCTCGAAGAAATCTAGCAGGCCAGCGCGATAACCACTCCGCCATAGTGCCTATGGGGTTTTTGGACGGGCGGGGACAAATTTTAATACTATATACCCACAAATATCCAAACCTGCCTCACGGGGCGCAGATTCGTAATGTTGGGCGCATCGACATGTAAAATTCCTTTCAATGGTACCTTATTGTTTTCTTTTAGCCGTTGCTTCTCACTCTACCTCACAAGTCCTCTCAATTGCTTAATGAGGCTAGGTTTAGATTTGATTCAATAACAGATGTGTCTGCTGCTCCGGAGCTTCTCAAAATCGCAACCTTCGGAATAAGTATTGATTTTTAGTTTTTCTTCTTCATGATCCTGTCGCGGTGATTAAAATGTCGAGAATGCTAACATACGTGTGTGAGGGAAGCATTACCGCAGTGCGCGACCCGAGGAGCTGCTGGGAGTGTCCTCTTCTGCACAATGGTCATGTTCTTGTGTTCAAGATCTTTTGGTCGAACATCTTGAGTATTGCATATCAGTCATATCAATATGTCTTCAGACTTTCGCAGCACAAATATTACCGTTAATGCTGGCGCGGATCGTTCCTCCACGTGCCCAGACCGAAGAACGAAGTCTGGTGCACTATGTCTCCGAATGTACTACCTATTGACTTCCGGGTGTGTTGTTCTGCTGGCCGATGGAAAGATCCTTCGAAGCAGAGTTGCCACACAGCAAGAGGAACAAACCCCATTGCTAGCTTTAAGACAGACAAGAGTCTCCTCTCAGCAGACGCCTGCACCGAAACCAACCCCAAGGCCCTGCGCGTGAATCGAGCCAGTGTATGAACTTACGCCGTTGGCGACGCAACCTAGTAACTTTGCCCACGCTGCAATACAAAAGATTGCATGTGCAATCGCATTGTTACATGCTAACATGAAGCGTGATCTGCTCCTCGCGGCGGGCCACAATGGTTCAGCTCATTCCATGAGGATATGATGGAGATAGAGTTGGTTCCCATTGGCAGATTCCGAGCTGCTTTATTTGGCTTCTCAAGGGTTGAGATTACTGGCTGTGGCCGACAGAAGACCTTTGGAGTGGAAAGAAAGTGGGCTCTAGAGCGTTAATGGACAGTAATGATGGGAACGAAGCAGATGAGAGACAGCTCTCCCGTAAGCCAGGTTAAAATGAGCAACAAGTAAAATGATGAGCGTGAGATGTGTCTGAACGGATTTAGGTTATTTTCAAATATCATCAATGCTTACGTCTTTGGCTGCCTACAGGTGGCTTCTGGCCTCCAGACAACAGACAAGCGCTTACATCGGGAAAACAAGGCCCTTTTTTCGGCGCACTACGTCCAAAATTTGAAACATTGGGAATTTCTAAGCCGCGAAAATGCCTACTTGGACAGGTAGCCACAGCGTCAGCACACGTCGCAAGACCGCATCGCTGGCCAATTTCGGCCGTCCAGCCTCTGAGTCAGCAAAAGACCGTAATTCAAGGAACAGTGAAAGGTCGAGAAGTGGTTTCACCTGGGGATGTCGAGTTTTGGAAATGGACAGATTCGGGTCCTCCAGACCTGTAGACCTGCGCACCTTCTCAGCCCCAGCCGTAGTCTGAGTCCACACCAAACTGGACTTAAAACAGGCTGAGCCCAAATGCGAACCAGTTATGAATTGGGCGCCTCTCATCCTGAGGCTTACAAACACCTTTCCTAGGACCTAATGCAGCACTCTACATGCTCTTGGCTTGACCTATCACTCTGAGCACGCCTTCCCCCCCCCTTCCTGGAGTATCTGATAATCAATGCTCAGTGTGACCATGTATGCTGCTTCATGATTTTGACAACATCACATCAACTCAAGCCCTCCCTGTAACCTCCATTTAGATTACATGAAAGGCGACGAGGCCTAATATGGCTATCTTGTGGCCGGTTGCTGACGACATCTCCATCTCCTTCTATGTTTCGTACCATGTTTATGAATTTGCACACAAGATGGTCGCAGCATCGTTCTGCTTATTTTCTTGGCCGCTGTTGGTCTTGCTCCACTACGTATATCATATCCAAATGTCCAATGTTTGTCTTGTGGCCCACTTGCTTTCATTTCATACCGGTACCTGAAGATCTTGAGCCTTACGCATTACTTCTACCTTGATTCATCATTTTTATTCCTTCGTCTCTTGAGGCATAATCACCACGACCAAAACCCGACTCACTACCCAGGATGAGACTCTCTCAAGCCGTCGCAATAGCCGTCATGGCGGTCCAGGCATATGCTCTGGCCGACATGCCAACGGTAACGGTCCCGATGAAGCGCTCTCAGACCAACGAGAATACAGCCACCTGCACCGGCAGCTGCGTCACCCACGTTGACCAGGAAAATCAAGGAGGTGACGACGGTAACAGCAATGATCAGAACACCGACTGCTATGGTAGCTGCGTCACCTACGTGACGCAAGAGGAGGCAGATGCAGGGGATGACACCCAGAATACAAAGTGCAATGGAAGCTGTGTCACCTATGTTGAGCAGCAGGCCCCAGCCGCGCGTCGCTTCTACCCAGGATCCCACGAAAGGCGGCGCTGGACACCGGCAGGCTTCCAGCATTCTTCGTCATAGAATTGCTCCGTACTGTAAGAATAGGGTGAAATTTTCAGAAGCGAGACTTTTGGCTTTAGGTGGCATTCGATTGGTTTGCCAAAGTATGCGAGGCGTGCGGGAAGATGAGCTGGTCTTGTCAGAGGGTGGAGCAAGGCGTTGACAAAGATTTTGTAACAATAATTTCTATGGTTGCTATTAAGATGCATTAATCCTGGCCTACGAGCAGAATGTCCATTCTTTTCAAAGGGAAGCTTGTTCCTGGCACAACATTCTTTATTTTTTGACATCACCATTTCAGCCTTCCAACGTTACTATCTAGGGTAGGTACCTCCTAGGTAGCGAACCAGCATTTATGGACTGTCACTTATGGACTGTATTTGGCCGCACGCTCAGGACATCATCATCGCATGCCCACTTATGTTTCCATTTCTTCAGTAACGTCTCAGAAGACCGGAAATGATGACATCCGTCTGAACCATGAATATCACGACCCTAGGTTCGTCATGCAGTCCCGCAAGCGCTCTTTGCCCGAACAACGCGGCCAATCCTGGCTCTGGTGATATGGAACACGTCCTTTTAAAAAGCTAGAGATTGAAGAATTGGAGTATTTCTCTATAGCTGTCTCCTCCAATGTCTGGTCATCACTCCCTCAAGTCCTCTATAGCAGGATCCTCTGAACTTACGCCTTTACTCAAAGGGTGAATACTGTTTTGCTCACGATGCCTTCGCGGAGGGCCATGCAGAGACAATTGGCTAGTATCCTCCTGCGGATTACAACAAGCAGACTTTCACGTCGCTCTAGTGAAATATGATTGTCAAGTAGGAGGCAGTGCGTGCTCTGGTCAAAGTGCTATGCCACAATCTCAGTACGAAGCATAGCTATAGACGGGGGTGAACTTCATTCCATTGAGTCTTGACAAAAGAATTGGTCGTGGACTGGCGTATCACCAGCTATGGTCCCGCCAATGCATCATAGTTGGTTCCATATTTAAGCTAATCCTCGGGTCAGATCAGGCGGATTGTTTTGAACTTCTCAAGGATCGTTCCATAGACGCAAGGTGCAGAAGTCTCCATGCTGGATCGAGCGTTAGCTCCTGAATGGACGTGCAAGCGGCTATAGCTGGTGATTAGCAATTTGAACCCGTAGCTTCAAGTCAACTTGTCTGGAGACTTCGAGTCCTAACCAAAGCTTTCCCCCATAACATCATTTTTCGAATGATGGGTTGATCCTGAGGTGAAGTCCAGGCTCCGGGCCGGGCCGGCGGCGAATCGGGTAGGCGCACGGACCCTCCGTTGAAGTGGATCTCCGGAGCTCCGGCCCCGGTTCGGCACTACACCCTCCAAGTAATTGATCAACATCTATGAATACCTACGTATTGGGAATCAGGCTTCGAAAGAGACTAGAAGTTTTGGATCTCTTGCGGACCAAGTAATTGTTGCATCATCCCATGATGGAAGTATGGAATGTGGTAATATTGAAGAAGCGCGACGGGCAGGGGTTGACGTGGAAGAGCTGCCGAAATTTAGGAGCGCCGGTTTGCCGCCAATGACGCAGTCTCTTCAAGGACATCAGATGAATACATGCGACTTTGTTCACAATGTTCGAACTCCCAAGGTATGCATACAGTGCCATATTCGTCGTTTGAAGGGCATCCACCCGGGTGAAGTGGGTGGATTGAAAGGTGTCCTTTGGTAAGACGCGACCCGGTGCACACATCAAGGCATAATCGAGTACACAGTATGTGCAGCAACGAGCCACGTCTCTAGCTGTTTAGACCGAGGTTGCAATCGGGGCATACTGTATGCCCGTAGGCACCTCAGCTCAGGTGGACAGGTAAGGTAATTTGGCACGGCTGGCAAGCGGTGCAGTAGCCCAAAACGCGGTCTTTGGCAAAGAAACGCGCAGGATCAGGGACTGGGAGACACGGGTGTGGGTCCGGACATAAAAACGGAGGACCCCTGTCTCTGCATCTCTGCAGGTGGTCTGTGTCTTGTCTTTATGATTTGCCTTTCTTGTGGAAGGCCACAAGGGGATTATATCTGCTGAATCTTGTATTTGATAATGGTCTCTTGTGACAATTGGTGGTTTTCTTTGCCCTCTTTGAATCTTTTGTATCACGAATCAATTGTGCAAGTTGTGAATATTTTCCGTCTAATCACAAACACGTCTTCCAATCTCAAACCCTCACTCACAGTCTTCTCACCTTTGCCTACCCGGCCTTTGTTTCCTCACACGGTGCGGCTTCTGACAGTGGAGCAAGGCCGTGTCGAGTTCGGTTCAAGGAACGCGGTTACGCGACGTGCTGCCGACTTCTGAACCGCGACTTGGAACTCGGAGCGGGAAAAAAAGACGCCCCCAGCCCAGCCCAGCCCAGCCCAGTCCTTATTTTTGCATCTCTCCATTCTGTCGTCACAAAAAAAAAGGCCCCCTTCCCAGACTCCCAAGGCTATCTTTGTCTTTCGAGAGTGAGATAAAC